TGTGGCTGGTCAAGCAAATGTTTGTGCTTGTTTCTGTATGATATAATTGTTCATATATATCTATTAAAATACTGATATTCTGGTCTATAACTCCTCCACGAACTTCCCTCTGCCTTGTATCTTGGTCTCTCATTGGCTGTAGATCATCGCCGATGTAGATTTTGCAGGCGTCGGCGACGTGTCGGCGATTCCCTCAGATCGCGTCTTAGATAATTCACACTGCGTGATTGTCACTCGCGTGAACGAGCACCGATTTGCCTCCGATTTCGGGCATTTGTCGGCAATTTCACAAAACCTGTCAGCGGGTGAAAAATCGGGCTAATATCGTGCAGTGTGAACTCGGCATTAGCTGTACTCTGAGGCTCAGAATCAGTCCAAAAGCTGGTCCTGTCCGAGAGTGGACAACAACACAACATCACATTCAAGGAGAATTATTTGACGGTAGCGAAGGCAAAACCTCGTCCAGCAACAGTAAAACGGTATATTATATTATATTATATTATATTATATTATATTATATGTTGTTACACTCCAAAATATCTCAGAACAGAAATGATAATGTGACTTAATCATTATCTTTTACAATCAGCTATCTCTTTCAGGTTAACTATTATAATGGCAGAGCAATTATCATTCTGTCTCACCCTCTGTTTCTTCAGTACAGATGGCAAATTAATCCTCAGTTGTCAAACTAAACCATTTAATCAAATTATATCAAGAACGTTCAGAATCATTGGCCAAACTAGCCAAATGCCACGGCTATATAAGTAAACCCATCTTGATTCACAAACAAAGAGTAAAAATGAGAGCCATATGACTACCTGACAGTAGTATGTAGTACCTGACAGTAGTACCATAACAGTCCCTACAGGAAGGCAGCACCTGTCAGAAATAAGTGTGTGCTAAGCACTGTGAGACTGAAGAGACTTCATGCCTGGGTGGCAACAGCATCACTAATCAGCTCCCACACCGACCAACTACCTGTGCCTTCACTCCATCTCTGAAGACTAAGACGGCTGTACAAAAGAAAAAAAAGCATTTATCCCTCATAAATGCATGTGTCTTCTTGTTCCATACACTGGTGGTCTACAGTCATCTTTCTCCCTAAAGGTGGAATTAGTTCCGCTTTCTGGAGCCTGGCTTTTCCCCTGCTGGAATCTGGGCCAGATGGTTGGAGGAAGCCGATCACAAAAAGAATGAGTGATGTGACAAATGCTTATATGAAAGAAAATGGTGAGTGATTCTGGGACGTGACAGGTCTGGCTGCGTTTGGCTCAGGTTAAGAGAGAAGAACTGAATAACATGACGTGATCGAAACGCTTCGGTACTGAAGAGTGTCAATTTCAGCCAGAACTTTGCAGCTGCTATTTTGCATTACAGTAAGCAGAAAAGCATAAGATAATATAAGCATGTGGAATTCAACCCCCTAGGATGCATTTGGAATAACCACAATGCTAAGATTAGAAAAGAAGGCCCACATTTTGATGAGGATGTGATATGAACTAACCCCGTTCTCGTTGTGCATGTCTGAGCTGCTTCCTCCTCTCCTGCTGGGCTGCTCCTGAGACTGCTGGCTCCCTAAGAGCAGAGAAAAAAATACAATGAGTCTATCAACAAAAAGCACTTTCAGTTGTGAACTATAATCATGAATGAACACAAAAAGCATCTATATACATTGGCTGAACGGAGGCAGAATCATCACAAGACTGGAGGAAAAGTTTAAAAGCCCGTTTGTTATTGCCATGTGACACTGGGAAAGGAGCTTGTGCTTTTAGTGGATTACTGCCACTTTTTCCCCTCCCACACACAGGGGTTTCAGGTTTATGCCTTAATCCGTGCGGACACTCACTACAAGCTAATCCTGCCTACAATGATAGGAAAAACCTCACTGGGATGTGAACAGAAAGAGTGAAAACAAACAAATGATGGGATAAAGAAAGGGAGAAATCATTATTAAAACGGATCACGTACATATAGCTGCATTACAGTGTTCAGTGGGGATGCAAGAAACCCACCCATGGTGAAATCTCATTGGTCAAAAATCCTGCTAACTGTACAATAATGTGACGTCAGTCAGTTTTATTTGTCTAGCATATATTGCAACAAAACAGCTTTTCCAAAAATATTTTTTTTACTAGTTAACACTTAGTTTGTGCTTTTTTAATATTAACAACTGTCCTTCTGCTTTAAAACAGTGAATAAACTTTTATTTTAATATAAAATGTAACTATATTTTAAATGTATTCATTTATTTATATTTTAAACAATGAACAATAGTATAACCTGTATTCATCTATCTACCTTTGGTCATTTTTATCCAATTAATCAAACGAATTCACAGATGATAAAAAATGAGCCTGAAATATTGCGCAATTAACATTTTCTAAATTTCATTTTGCAAGTTTCATTATTTTATAAGTCTCAATTCGAAAGTAATTAGTTATACATAAGCTGTATGTATTGTGCTCTTGTCTGAATGTGTGTTTGTACCTGTCCAGTAAAGGCAAGTGTGGACAGAGGCGAGGCGAGGCAAGGTGTTTGATTATATAACCAGTAACATATTACTTAATCACCACAGCAGTGCTGCCAAAGTTGTGCATTTTTGTAGCCTTACTCAACTTACATTCTCAGTTTGAGATAGGCTTTGAGTTCATTTCAGCTATATCACTTAAATATGGTTTCTGATATGATTTTAATGTGGTACTCTTTTCCCAATTGACTAGGGCTGCTCGATTATGGCAAAAATCCTAATCACGATTATTTTGGTCAATATTGTAATCACGATTATTTAACACGATTATAAGTGGGCTATATGACCAAATCTTTATATGAGTGATTTATTTAAGGATAGTGATATATATTAAATATATATTTTCTGTAAATAAGGTTGATATGACATCTACATTTTAGAGACCAGAGAAATTTCTCAATTCTCAATACCACAGCAGAGTATTAGGGTAACTGATATTAGTAACAAACAAACAAAAAAGTCCTCAAAATTATTGAAAATAATTAAACTGTCAGTAATAAAAAAAGGACAAATGCAATAGAATAAAAAAATACAAATGAAACAAACTGTGCTTTAAGGTTTTTTTATGCAAGTCTTTAGTATTCAGTTAACAGAAATGAATAATCAAATGTAAAAAAAAAACGGCATAGTCCAAGTAAGAATTAAACTTTCTTTGTTTCTTATTAAAGCTTTAAAATTCCTTCACTCAAGAGCAGTGTGTGGTTTTAAATTAGTCTTTTGTTGTTTGATTAATATTAAGCACACAGTCGGCAGCAGGAATATTTTAGCCCGCTGTCACTTTAAGAGCCGCACGGATCCAATTTACCGCTACACACGTATTTTCATTCTCAACTGTTTATGTTCATTTATTACATGACCGACGAAGGTTTACGTGAATAATCACTAAGCGCCGCATTTTGACACATTTTTGTGTGTATTTGACCGTTTAGGTGTGCACCTTGAGCTAAAAGATGACTTTACATGTCCTTGTTGTGTACCGTCTCTCTGAGCGCAGGCACAGAAATCCTCCCGTGGAAGCGCAAGTTCTCTTTTGCACTTTTAAAAACATTAATAAATTTAATACACTTCAATAAATCAATCACATCCCATTTTGCAAAGTCACATTATATGATTATACTGATTTGCATGTGAAATTGGGCTTTTATGGAGGAGCGAAAGCGCACCGCTGGAAAGGGGGCGGAATGGGGAGCAATAATCGTTTTATCTCGATTATTGTATTTTCATAATCGTTGGAGGCCGAAATCGAAAACGTTTTTTTGATTAATTGCACAGCCCTACAATTGACAATGCCTTGCTCACTGTAATTTGAAGGCACTGACACATTCAAAGCTACTTTGAGATAATTCGTTTTGTGATAAGCACAACAGAACTGAATCAGGAACAGAACCCTGCATTGTTCAGCCAGGATGTGCTTGTCTCTTTCTTTCACATGTTGGAGGCCACTGAAAAGGGAATGAAAAACATTCAGCCACTGTCAGCCAATGAGAGGAGAGCGGTAGTGGGCGAGACGTGGCCTGCAGCCAGTCAAGTGGGAGTGTTCTCACCCTGATCACTGCTTTCAGTGGGCGAGTCTTCGTGGCGTAGGTAGAACTTCACCTCCTGCTTTCTGGGGCCCCATTTCTGCAGGTGCTCATACATCATGTGGTCAAAGGGTATGGCTCGCTCTGGAGAGGGGAAAACATAAGACATGGCATTAAAACAACAAGCCACTCTAATTTTAGAAAGGTCAGAAACATAATTTTTTGTTCCTCCAGAAAAAAAGTTTGTAAAAAGGTGAGGAGATAGTGTGTTCACAGAGAGAGGAAAGAGATCCTTCTCCTGCTGAGAAGCGTTTCATTCCAATGTTACACACTTAAAGCCACACCTGAAGAGAAAGAACAGAGGAACAGACACAGTGGGATCAAGAGAACAAAGACGACATGAAACTGAATCAAACGTGGTGTCCAGCCAGAGGAATGTGGTGGGGCTGGGTGGGCAACAAAGACATGGATGGGGAAAAACAAAATTTGGACATTGCTAACAGGTGGAAGGACATCTGGAAGCCTGGCAACCATTCAAAGAGTAATGGGATAAAACGACAGAAAAATAGAAGAAATTATGAAAGTGGAGAATATCAGAAAAGCACACAGGCTCAGGGACATTAACAAAGAAAGTGAGAGCAGCCAAATTTAACCTAAAAAACCTGGAGCCAGATGCTTCAGCTAAATGTTAAAAGAAAAAAAGTTTGACAATCAAGACTATATGGACAGGAACTTTATATAACTAGGTTTCGACTCATGTAAAAGTCACAGCCATGATGCTACGATGTTGTGGGTGGTTGTTCCAAAATAGCTGCTAAGGTGGTTGCTAGGTGGATGCTTACTAGTCCATGTAACCAAAACTTAGATGCATCAAAATATTTCATAAAGACATTGTAAAAGTAATCCATATGAATAGAGCAGTTAAATCAAAGTTTTCTGAAGAAACACGATTGCTTTATTGATAAATAGATTTAATTTAGGCTTTTATTCACATAGATAGAGCACATCAAATATGGTAAATGGAAACTCAGCCATACTTGATTGACCCGTGACAACCAATGAGGTTGAGTTTCCGTTTGCCATATGGATCACTTTTACAATCTATTTATTAACTTTTTGAAGCATCAAAGCTTTGGTTGTGTGGACTTTGAGTTGAACAGATTTGGAATGACATGAGGGTGAGTAATTAATGACTGAATTATGATTTTTGGATGAACAGCTCAATGAAGTTGTGAATGTTTTAATGATCAATTAAGTACTCTAAATAAATATTAATTATCAATAATTACTGATATTCTAAAATAATCATTTTGAGAGTCTCATAGAAAAGCCTGAACTGCTGAGCACCACAGTAAAAGATTTGGTGAGGCAAAATATCCACTTAGTAACCAGACACTAATGATGAATCTTGTGCAATCCATCACCTGCTGTAAAATAACTGGGCTCATCAGAATTTCAATGACAGATACACTTCAAGATGAAAGGACACAGTGCTGATGGAAGGCCTTTTGAAAGGAGGCTCCCTGAGCAAAGATAACATTTCTGGCACACAGCTGTTTGTACAAATCACTATCATCAAGGGAAATGGAAAAATGAAGGGAAAAAATTGACCCATCTGTCAGAACAGAAGTAGCAGTTATGTCTGAAAGGACTAAGTGAGCGTGTTTTTCTTTGCAGTCAGATTCTTTAAAAAATACTTTGAAAGAATAAAAGCACTGAATGTTTTTTACTGAACGAAACAGCCAGGGTGGGAAGGTGAGAAAATCAGAGGATATTGGAGTCTGTACAAATGATTTCAATTAAAGCTGAGTGCTTTCACCTTGTCAATATTTTTAACTTTTTAGATTAAGAACTGTAGTCAATGTAAGACTAATTTATATCCTGCAACAGTCATTACCTACAATTACTGTGTTCACTTGCTATAAACGGATAAGGACGAGAGGGATGGGGTTACAAACATTTTTGTAATGGGGGAACTCACCATTTCCATGCCAAACCTCGGCCAGGTGGCAGCCGCTTTCTCCTGGCTCCTTACAGAACTCCACCACATCACGACACGTCGTCTCTGGAGTGATGGGCACCTCTGTCAGCGCCTGCTCCCCATCACTCAAATACACCGTTAAAATCATCTGGGAGACAAAAAGAGAGAATATTTTTAATATTTCATACCAAAGACTGAAAAGCAGGCATTCCCACTCACCCATAAGAACACTAGGGGCAGTGTCATTGCTCAAAAACAACTCAAACAACATTATTCATGGATTAATTTGCTATTTAGCCCTAGTTATTTTTTCCCCCCACACAACATCATGCAGTGTGTCTACATTTAAAACATTGCTTTTAAGAGCTTTACATCTTAAGTTGTTGCATACAGGAAGATATAGCACAACTATACAACACATTATGGTTGTTGATGAGATTTCTAGCCCCTCCCCTCAGCTATAACTCACTCTGATAGAGGGAGGAGCCTGGGCCTGTCAGACTGATGGTGACTGACAGGTGTGGTGGGCTGGTTAGTGCTGCTCTATGTGCAGTGTGACAGAGGAGAGATGGATGGTTTGATGCAAAATGGAGAGAGAGAGAGCGAGAAAGGCAGAGAGGAAGATCAAGAAGAGGGGTGATGTAAACATTAGCTCCCTAATGAGAAGAGGAGAGCATGGTCATCTAATGTCTGCTATACAGTACTGCACTGCCACTTTCATGCAAGTATTTAAACAAACACACTATTCCAAAAAGTGTCTTTTTACCATCCTTGATATTATGAGTATGGACTAAAAAAAGGACACTTCATGAAATGTGTCACTGTGCAGCATGGCAGAGAGTAGAAGACAGATTCATTAAGTCAACCATCACGCAATCATCTCAACCGGTCACAACAGAGGTCTGTGATACGGCCAGTATGACACACGTGACATTTCTCAAGATAGACAAAAGGGCATCAGGATTACGTGGCTGGGGAAACCTTTATATGTGTTATATAAGTCTAAAGTATCACATTACCTGACATAATTAAAAATGAGTAGCAAGCCTGACCTTTGTGTGGTGCTGAGTCTTAAGAGAAAAGCAAGTATGTCCAAGACAACTTGATAAATGGATGTTGTTCAGCTATGGGTACTTTTGGCCCTGAGGTCGTAAAGTGTGTTTGAAAAGAGTTTAATATAAGTAATATATTACTGGTTACCAAGTCAGGTACCATTTCCATCACATCTCAAATGATGCAGTGTTTTTAATAACACTCTGTAATGGAAATTACATTTTAAATGTCGAATAATCTGTCAATCTAGTCAAGGCTCATTTTTTTTAGCTAGCTAGCATGTATCCTAAATATACACATTCGTACATTTAGCATAATTTGACAAATATTTACAGCTTGAAAACACCACAAATATTATATTTACCTTGTCTTTTCATTTTCTTCACAAGTCACATGTGAAATAAAGTACTTAAATTATTTTATAAAGAATTTTCACACACTAAGTTGTCAAGTTGACTGTTTTCAGATCATTTAGAAACAGAAAACATTAATAAAACAATGTTACAAAAGATTTCTAATTCAAATAAATGATGTTTTGCACTTTATATTTAAAAGATACTGGGGAAAAACCCCAACAAAGGTCACTAAGCAGAATAACCTATTTAAATGGATGATCTTAAAAGTAAATGTGTCTTGTGCACCAAATCAGCATATTAGAATTATTTCTGAAGGATCATGTGACACTGAAGACTGGAGTAATGATGCTGAAAATTCAGCTTTGCCATTACAATTTTTTTTTTTTAAATATAATATTAAAGTTCATTTTTAATAATTTTAGAATTATTTCATATTATTACTGTTTTGGACTATTTCTGATCGAATGAATGCAGTCTTGGTGAACTTAAGACTTTTGAAAAGCAAAACAAAATTAAGTAACTGTGAACTATTAATATGACCTTCATACAGACTAAAAGTCTTAAAAAAATAAAAAATAAAAATAAAAAAGTTCAAACATGAAAGTGCCTGAAGTAAATCAGTATGAGGTTTTTAATGTTTACTGACTCGTCCAGGTGAATTTGCAAAGTCAACTAATAGAGTATCACTTAACATTCAATCGAATTTCTCTCAAATCCAAAACAAGCATAGCCATCAATCCTCAATTACTGAGCAAAAAAACATGCATTGCTCTGTGGCTCACACAAATATGCAAATATAGCCTACATCACGATGACACTCAGGAGTAAGTGTGGACTGTGGACATAGCCATTATTGATTTAGTCTCAACGACTGCTAGTTGGGTGGGTTAAGAACACTCCTAGCAGTATTAGTGCACTAATGAATGCTCTAACTTTATACCCTAAGTGTGTCTGAGACGTGCAATTCTTACAAAACCCATGTAAATTCCCTCTTCCTCCAAAGCATCCAGAAAGGCCAATCCTACATTATTTTCTCTTGAATGGAGGGCAGTTCAAAACACAGGTGTGTAGGAGAAGAAAGAGCTCTTGTGCTGAAGCAAACCTGTCAAATGTAGAAACAAAATACTGACATTCTTTTGTGCATAGAGTTGAAAGCAACAATTGGATCAGGTCAGTTTCAGTGAACTCTGTGTGGAGCAACACTAGGACCGAAATATTTAAATATTTAGGCCACACACAAGGTTTTTCGAAACACCAAAATGACTCTTTTGTGTATTCACGCAACAATGGATTTTTTTTGCCACAACACTAGAATGGAAATATGTAGGCCGTGCACAAAGAATGTGTGTGAAGGACAAAGAAAGGTGCAAACTAAATCTGCAGGGAAAACAAAATACTCAAGTGTAAATGGGTCCAAGTGACCTGCTGAAAAGTTGGATAATCTGAGGAAAACCCCTCAGAGAATATTTAAAACACTGCAAACACAAACAGGGAACATGGATACTGGGTTCAAAAGAAAAAGTCAAACAGGACTACTACTTTATGTGGGTTTAAACGCTAACTAAAAACAATTTAACCCACAAATCTACAAAGAAAATGTCTAACTTGGTCTAAACAATGATTCCTTGTACCGTTACTCAGCGAATATGCTGTGCTGCTGCTGAATCTACAGCACAACAAAAATTTTATTTGAGTGGAGTCTGTTGTCTGGCCAGTGTTTCCCCTGCCATTATTTTAGGGGGGCGGCCCGCCCCCCCAACGGCACCCCCCGCCCCCCTTCCCAAAGCCATAAACCTAGGGGAAACACTGCTGGCTCAATGTGAAATGAACAAACACAATAAATACATGCCTATTGCATTTTCCTCACTGAATGCATGCAAAAAACAACACTAGCGTCTGATTCCCAAACAAATGGTGCTTATGTGCAGTCTTTTTTAATAAATTGACCAGAAATTCTAACAAACGCAATCTCTTGATCTGAATCAGAATGAATGACTCACTCATTTGAGTGGTTAATGATTTAATATCGGACTCACTCACTTCCCAGATATTTAACAAAATTTAATTAAAGAATCCCGTTCCCACAAGAGTTTGTTCGTAAAATAAAATAAAATAATAAAAATACACAAACATATACAGAAAAATAAAGTATATAGTAAGGACCAATAGGAGAGAGAGAGGGTGCAGGTGCTGCAAAAACAACACTGTAGAAAACACCTGTCAGCAATGAGTTGGCATTACAAAAGCTTGTGTGTGAGAGAGAAACACACTTTTGTTCAGCTTATTTAAAAATTCACCAAGCCTGACAGATAAGGTAAGGTTTGTCATTATGTCAAGGTCTCAAGCAGTGCAGAGAAGTGCAAGAGACAAACACGCTGGGTCGCACTTTTGCATTCAGCATACGCACTGTTACTGCATCAAACAGAATGACACGTTTATCTGAGCACCGGCACCAACCGCCGCCAACTTCTGCGGTAGTTACGCACACAGAGTGCTAGATAAAGTCCCAATGAGTTATATTGTCAAAAGGGATTTCAGTAAACAATAAATGCACACATCATTCATCATGAGTGTTCCGAGGTTTATTGTTTGCTCTACTAATTTATACACTCTACTGATCTAAAGTAATGCCATTAAGATCAAGTTTTGTATTAAAACATAATTTGTAATGAGGATGAAGACAATTAAAGTAGTTTCTAGAAAGGAATGAGTCAGTTTTATTGGATGAAATGGATCGGATTCAGGAAGCTATGGCAAGAGAAACACACAAGAAGGCTTGGTAGAACTCTGCAGCCCAGAATTCTACATAAAACACATCAGATTTCCACAGAATTTAAAAGGACATGCTTTACAATGTTCTACACATACCCAGTTCCACTGTCTATTAAATATTTATTCTGTAAAATACAGACAGTAGTGCAGCACTCACAGTGCATGGAACACATTTAACCATATTTAAAAAACATTCTTTAAAAGAGACATGGAAGAGGGATCTGAATTTCTGGATACTGGGCACAAAACAGGCAGAATGAGGAAGGACTAGGGTAGAAGTATGAAAACCTTCAAAGCCAAGTTTGAATTAATGAACAGATGTCCAATTTGAATATGACCGCAGATGTAGATATGAAAATTCCTGAAAAAAGGACTGAAATCATGATTAGAAAAATGGTCTCATGGTTTTCTAGTGAAAATAATCAGTTGAGTTCTGAAGTCTGATCTTTCCAGCTAAGTGACAGGATCTGTTATCCAAGTAAGATCAACAGAGGTGCAGAAATCCCCATCTCAGTCAGTGTGAAGAAGAGCATCAGTTCTTGGCTGGTGACTGTAGGACACACAAAAGAATGTTCAAGCATTTTGTCCTCACACCACTCAGGTTTCTGCTTTTCATCAGAGGGGGAAAAATGTTGTGTACTCCTCGATCTCTTACTGCTTTTAAAGGATTGCGTCCGCTCTGAATTCTGTGCCCGTTCACACCTCGTTGAAAATAAATGGTGTTTTAGAAGGTAACTTTTACAGAGCAGGTCGCAGTGATATACCTCCTCTTCCCTTTCTTCTGCTGTATGTCTGTCCATGAGAAAAGTCTCAAAACCAAAGGTGTGGGAGAAATGCATAACAATAACACTGTATTGAACAGACTCATCAAATTAAAGTCAGTTAAATTAATAAAATGTATTTATTAATTTATAATAATAGGCTACATACTTTGCACTAGTAATTATACTTACCTGGGACATAAACA